ACACACACACACACACACACACACACACTTTCTTCGCTCTGACAAAGACACAAGGCAAGTCAAAATTAACTCGTTGCGTGCTGTGGCCCTCGGGGACAGATCAAGGGCCTTTTGTTCTGTACAAAGAACTGGTGTGTGTACGTGTGTGTGTGTGTGTGTGCGCGTGCATGCGTGCATGTGTGTGTAGAAGGAGGAAGAGGAGGGGAGCAATAATGAAAAAAGTAAGGCAGATAAGGCGAGGTTTAGTAGCAATAAGCAGCAGCAGAGAGAGCGTGCTGGTACACTTCATCACTGTTATGGGGCCATAACGGGCTGAGCCAGAACTGGACAGACCAGAGCCAGGCCATTTAGACTCAGTCACAAATAACACTGTGTCTCTGATGGATTTGGATGGACTATATATCAGTAATAATATCAGAAACCGGCTAAATCTGAAAACAAATACTTTTCTGTTTGTGTCAAGCTGGCATTTTTTTTTTTTTAGGAAAACCACCCACTTGAGTGTACTAGGACGTTTGCAAATACAGCTTTCCATTGCCTTCAACTATCACTGTGATTACTTATTTTAAATTTCTACAGAACTCTTGTCATTAAACTTACTTTTACTTTAGCCAGGGTTATGCTTTTCATGACCATCAGTATGCAAGGGTCTGCTTGGGTCTGTGTGACATACATTTCATCTCTGCTTAAGTTTTTAAAAGATGCATTTGCAATCCCAAATTTTTGCATCTGTGTGGTGACTACTCTACAAGTGCAGTAGTGCACATGCTTGACAGTGGTGTACCAACAACTACTCTTTCATGGTGTCCACAGCTTTCCATGTGCGTGTCTGCAGGGGTGTTTAACATATCAGCTTCAAACAGTTCAGCCGGTGTCTGTACGTGCAGAATGATGTGGACTCTAAGGGCAGACAGCAGATGCAGGTCTATACAGACTACAATACATACATGTGACATTGCCCCTTTTGGGAGACAGAAAAACACCCAGGGCTCCCATGGATGTTTCTGAAAAGCTGGCAGTGACTTTGCACCTTTTACAGTGTATAGCAGTTAGTTACAGATTGGGCTGTAGCACCGTGTCAATTCTTATTCCTAAGGGGGTGCTGAGCACTTGGGACAGACATAGCACAGGATGTCTGGAGAAATTAGGATTTCCCACTTTTTGAGCACCACTAATGGAAAGCATGTACAGTGACTTCAATTACAACTCTTTTAATTACGAATTATAAAAGGTATGGATGACGGAGAAACTCCTTGCAAGCTCTCAATGTCAAAAGCATTTGTTTTAAGCACCTTTTATTTTCTGGCACATATG